CTACGCTATTCAAAATAAGGAAATGAAAGTGTGTACAAGGGACCTTATTATATCTTAAACAAATTCTTGTTTAAAAGATAACCACAGTAAATAATTTATTTAATTGTTTGTGTAACGTCGGCCTTATTCCAAAATATTTTTTACATTAGATGATTTTAAATGGGTTACTGATTTAAATTCTCGTATTACAATGTAAAAACAAAAAAGCAATTAAATAAATCCAATTGTTGTTGTAAAAATTAAAGGTATAATACCTAAATTATAACACAAAATAAAAGTGACATATGTTTGAAGAAACTGCATTTGAATAAAAGATCAAAGCTTCAGTAGAACATTATATTTTTAAGCAAGTGGATAAGTAAACCGATAATAGATAAAACTGATAACTAAATTAAAAAGAAAAGACCAATATTGTCATGCTGATTTAATAATAATATTTATTTTATTTCAAAACTTCAATAAAAGTTTTTAAATTTCATTGCAATTTCATTTATATTGTCACTTTAAAATAAAAATTTATTTGATGATTGAGGCTTATTCAAATTTAAACCGATTCCAAGTGGAGGTTTATTAAGATTCAAATTCAAATCAACGTTAACTATAGGATTTATTACCTCAAGTGGGGGTACTTCTACTATATCAATAACTGGTTCTGCAACTATATCAATAATTTCTTCTACTACTTCCACTGGTGCTTCTACTATATCAATAATTGCGTCCAAGATTTCTACTACAGGACTTTCCTCATTATCAGCATCGGCATTTGTTTCATCATTATTAGTATCAGCTTCTCGTAAATTGTTATTATTTCCGTCATCACTGACATTCCAATATGATGTTTGTCTAGTATATGTAGGGTCACTGGCGTATGAATATGATCGATATGATGGTAGTCCAGTATATGTAGGGTCGCTTGGGTGTAATGTATACGAATAGTATGGACTATAATAATTTGTGTAATACCAATTCGGATAAGATATATAATATGGACTATAAAAATTCGTATAATAAGGTGAATATTGAGGAAATGCTCTACTTAATACCGCTTCGAATAAAACGAAAACTAAAAGAATTTTAATTAAATGATTTCAAGCAAAATTTAATAACAAAGAAAAAAAATCGAACTTACAAGCAATGCCAAATATACACTTCATTTTCAACTTTATTTTTTCTATATCGCAATATTGTGTGACTAAAAGCAAGTGAAATCCTAAATGTGTATTGTCCTAAAAGAAGCTTTTTATAGCCAAATTTCTCATTGAAAAATTTGAGAAAAGCAAACAGTGTACTCCTAATATACTGTTTTTACATACATATATTGAATTATAATTATAACGAGAAAAAATAGAGTTGATCTTGTCAACTCTGTGATTCCCGTACGAATCTGTTATCTTGTATGCGAAGAAATATGCAATAACTGACTAAGGAACATACTATGAATTTAATTTGCCGTGCAAAATTTCAGTATAGTGTTTTCAATATTTTTTTAGATATGGCCAAAACTACTTTTAAAGTTGTATGGTAGCTACCTGAAAGAGCAAAGAAATTTTAATAAATTTTATCAAACACATCGACCCTATTAATATATTCGTTTGTGTGAAATTTCAATACCATGGCTTTTATAGTTTCTGAGGTATAGCCAAATAAATTTTGGAGTTGTATGGCAGCTACCCGAATCAGTACCTAATTGGCCCTGACTACAATAAATCATTTGTGAAAGTTTGGTTAACTTAGCTCAATTAGTTTTTGAGTTTTCTCTTGGGACGGACGGACGGACAGACAAAGCTTAATCAACTCGGAATTCGACGCTGATCAAAAATATACACTTAAGTCTATATCTCAGAGCATTATTTCTTAGCGTTACAAACGGAAAGGCAAATTTAGTATACCCTTCGAACATACATTCGTACGGGTATATAAAGGGAACTAACAGCTGTCAGAAATTAATAGACACAATTTTGGCAATAGTTATTTATTTTAATTCATCATTTTAATTTATTTATTAGTCTACCCGTATAGCTAATATAATAGCTCAAATATATGTTTCCTATAAACAAAACAAATAAAGTTGGGTCAAACCAATGGTTTGTATTGTAGCACTTTTCCCTTCAGCAAGTGAAAATTCTGCTTTTAAATACAGTCTATGTATACCTATCACGCATTCTAAAAATTATTTTCATTCATATACAAAACTCTTTCTAGGATTGCATATATTTAGGATGAACGATTTATGCAGTCTTTGAAATAAAGCAAAAATTAATATAAAGTGGGGTTAACAAAATGCTCGATTTTAAGGTTTAATTATGTGAGTTAAGAAAAATAATTATATTTTTTAATGTCATGGAATTTACCGTTAGCTTTTTGTGTTTATAGAAATTTTAAAAAGCTTGCGGTTTCGGAAATATAAGGTGTCAAAAATTCAAATTTTACAAACTTCAAGAGGCAATAACTTGTCTAAAAGCCCATAAAATTTCAAGCTTCTACAGGTTGGGGTCTAGAAAATAAACGACATCAAAAATTTGAAAAAAACGGACTTTAGATAACGGTAAATTTGAGCGGCCATTTTGATTTTCTAAAGTTAACCTTTAGTATACCCCGCTAGGGGAAGCAAGCCACTGCCTTTCTGCGTTTGCAAAATTTGAAAAATCCTTATGGTTTCATTGCACTAAATAGTTAAAGAATGGCATTTTTAGGGTTTCGGGGGGGTATAATTTCTAAAGGGGGGGAGATAGATAAAAATTTTGTTCTACGAAAATAAGTTTTTGGTAAAACTCTATGTACGTACAAAATTTCAGCTTTCTATCTTCAAGGGTGTAGAAGTTTTGTAAACAGACACACGGACAGACGGACGGACGGACGAACGGACGGACGGACGGACGGACAGAGTGAAACTAATAAGCACTTTTTTTCAAAATTTTTTTGGAAAAGTGCTAAAAACAATCAATTAAGGTATCTAAACTAATTGTATTACCTTTTGGTTGAATAAATTTACGAGCTTATGCGAACAAGTTTAGTGTTTATTGAAATGCAGTACGTTTCTACCGAAACGATCATTATTTATAGTCCATGGAGCTAGCCAGCCGAAAGTGCATATTTTACCAGAAACTTCAATAGTTTAACCAATGTTCATGCTCAATATATTATATAACTTCATGATATATATGATCGTTTACAATTGAATATTTCAACTTTTTTAACAAGGAGTGATATTTTGTCTGTTTCGTTTTCGTAACTTAATGCGTTAAAAATACTGCCAGATTATTTGACGTCTCTAGATGACTTCAAGAATATATAAACCCTTTAGTTGAAATTTCCAAAAAAAGTGAATCAAAATTAGCCCAACTTAAACGTTGTCATGTCCTGGTTAACATTTACATAAAATTATGTTTATTCACGAAAGGTTATGTTTTTGACTTGTAGAATTACCCATTGTAATCGATTTTTAAACAATAAAATCTTTATTAGGAGAGAAAAAAGCAGAACTCACTCATAACTACAACAGCAATATTTTCCTTATAACTTATACCAACAAATTATTTATTCTCTTTTTTGTTACAGGTATACAATTTGATTTCGATGTATGTATAATAATTTATAATTATGTGTACATGTACATACATGTACGATTCATACTATAATATAATTTTCTTCAAATTAAAACTGTTATTTATCAAGCAACAGTTATTTTTCCAAAAATTAATTCTAGGCATTTTTTTTATTGCGTTAAGTCCGAAACTTCACGTTTATGATGTGTTTCAAAATATAAGTTAAAACTAGAACTAAGTAGAACTAAATAAAATTTCGGACTAATAGTTTTCCAAATAAACTTTCATACTTTATGTATTCTAATTTAAATAGATTTCAATGTAAATCTTATAATAACTTTATTTGAAAGCATGACTGTAATGAAGACAATGTGCCTTAGTGTAGATAGGTAAATAATGTTGATGTTGGTGTAGATAGTTAAAAATAAAAATGGTGTTGAAATTTCACACAAACGAATATATTAGTAGGGCTAATGTATCTGGTAAAAGTCGTTGAAATTACTTGGTTCCTTCTGGTACCTGCGATACAACTTCAAAAGTTATTTGGCTATATCTCAGAAACTATAAAAGCTGTGGTATTACAATTTCACACAAACGAATATATTAGTAGGGCCAATGTGTTTCATAAAAGTCGTTGAAATTACTTGGCTCCTTCTGGTATTTGATTGTATCTCAGAAACTATAAAAGCTATGGTATTGAAATTTCACTTCTGTAGAATAAAAATAATAGAATTCACAAAGTAAAACAGCACTGATCTTATTCATTTGCCTATCATCCTACTTTATTTAGTAAACTTTTCGTACGCTTCAAATGATTTTTGACTCTTACTTGTTTAAATAAAAAATTTTCCAGCTTATCGAAATTGTTATTAGAGGATTTGATTGCTGTCGAAACAAAACTATCCAAGTTTTCAATAAAGAGGCATTCAAAAATATGCATATAAGTATATAAATTTAGATCCTGCAAATTTTGGAAAAAGAAAAATATTTTTAAACAATCTCTAATTTTTACAAACCATTAATGTTTTAGGGCTCCGACTATCAAGTAGGAGTTGTTACCCAAACTGAAAAAAACGTTATTCAAATTCATTATATTTTTTTTTATTCAGCTATGTCCTACGACCTAGGAGCTTTGTAGTTTTCTCTATATTTGTTTTCTAATTCTATCCTTTTCTACTTTCCTCACCAGCTTGACATCCGAAGTCATACCTAGATATTTCGTTGTGTTTTGGATTGATACTTTGACACCATTAAAGCTCAAAAAGAGCAGGATGAAAAAAAAAATCAGTTCTTTCGAAAATTTTCCTTCTTAATTTAACAGTTATTAAATTTCAAAAATTTATTACCATTTTCTAACTAAGGTCTTAAAATACAACGTAATTTTTTAGACACGAAAACTTTTATTTATTTATTTTTATATAAAATAAGCTTGGTAGTACTTTTCTTTTTAATTTTTTAGCCAACAGCTTTTATTATTCCAATTGGTGCCTTTATTATGTCAATAACGGGCTCTAATATTTCGGTAAGCGGACCATCATTATCAACATCAGGCACCTGAGGTGGATTGAAGGGCGGATTATTAGGTGGGAGTGTAGGTGGTAGAGTGAAAGTGCTGTACGGCGTCGAGCATACAGGATAATAAGTTGAATACGGTGTAGATGTTGGAGTATAAGGCCATCCACTGGTGTAACAACCGTAATAAGTTGAATCCGGTGTAGCTGTTGATGTACGAGGCCCTTCAGTGTAATAACTGTACGGCGTTGAGCATACAGGATAATAAGTTGAATACGGTGTAGATGTTGAAGTATAAGGCCATCCACTGGTGTAACAACCGTAATAAGTTGAATCCGGTGTAGCTGTTGATGTATGAGGCCCTTCAGTGTAATAACTGTACGGCGTTGAGCATACAGGATAATAAGTTGAATACGGTGTAGATGTTGGAGTATAAGGCCATCCAGTGTAATAACTGGACGGCGTTGAGCATACAGGATAATAAGTTGAATACGGTGTAGATGTTGAAGTAGTATAACAACTGTACGGCGTTGTATATGCAGGATAAGTTAAATGTGAATCAGGAGTGTCGTACATACTAGTTGTTGAAGTATAATAAAAAGAAGGGTACGAGTTTGAACATGCAGGAGTATAGTACGGAGTAGTATACGAAGTTACTGCTGAAGTGTAAGGATAATTAGTGTACGGTGTTGAGCATCCAGTAATATAGTACGGAGTAGTATACGTAGTAGGTATTGTAGTGTAAGGCCAATAAGGATACGGTGTTGAACATCCAATTGTATAATACGGAGTAGTATATGTAGTAGGTGTTGTAGTATAAGGCCATCCACTGGTTGAATAAGTTGGGGTTGTAGTAGTATATGAATTATATGAAGAAGGAAAGCTTGTGCAAGTAATAAATCCTCCGATCGGTGTTGTTATAGGAGTTGTATAGGTATAAAAAGAATATGTGTAAGGGGAATATTGCGGCACCGCTTTACTTAACGCGCTTCCAAATAAAACAAAAACTAAAAATTAAAATAATTTTATTTTTTCTCTTTTTATTAAAGTAAAAACTTTAAACTTACAAGCAATACAGGCAATGTACTTCATTTTAACTTCTGTTTTCATTTGTTAACAATCTTAGAAGAATAGTTACTGTGATCCTGATTAAGTATTGTGTTAAAATCGGCTTTTTATACTAAAATTTCTCAAAAAAAAATTCTAAAAATTTTGAAATAAAATAAACAAAATATGTACCTACTCTATATAATCTTGTTAAACCTCAAAACCTTTTTGTTAAAAAATAAAAATACAGGTGTTAGAAGCTAAAAATAAAAAATTAAAAAAAAAATATTTATTTTCCTTAGCCTTTTTAACTTATACTTAACTGACTTAACCAGAGTCGGTTTCAAGGGCTGTTGACAAAATTTATAAAAACTTTTTAAAGCGAAAGCTATTATCAGTTGCCGTAATTTATTTAGAACCAATTTATTTGATTTAAACTATAAGCAAGATTTTTTTGTGTTCGTTTTAAAACATTCTAATACTCTAAGCTACTTCAGAGCAATTTAAGGTAGCTAAATGCTGTTTTATTTGGGAGTTATGTTACAAATACCTTGTAACAAATATATAAGTATTGCATATTGCACGTTTAATTATCGTCTAGAGTTATGTAGAGCCAACAACTGCCATGTATTGGAAGAAGCGTTCATAACAACTCATCACAAATAATTCATTTTGTAGTTTAATGTATTTTAATACACGACCACATTTTCTAAACATTTCCTATAAATGAAATAAAACAACTATAAAAGTACGAAACGTACCGTCTTGAATTTTGAAACGAAAAACTGCAAAGTTATAAATAGTTCAGTCTAACAGGTAAGTTATGTCACGGCAACAAATTTTGCATATCGAATTTTCGGTGGGAATGCACTTCTCCATCTTAGGGAAGTGTAAATAAACTATTTTTAGCAACCTGTCGGTCTGTGTGTGCATGCACGTATTTCAAGTTCGGCTGAACCGATTTTGATGAAATTTTATATGTAAATTCAACTGATTTACTTGAAATTTCATATATGAGCTTTGCTCGACCGATCGCGAAAATTCCTAACTTTTGGAAGAAATCAGGCGTCAGCAACTGGACGTTCACTACGGGCCAAATATACATTTTTGCGTATATAAAGAGAAATAATCAACGGATTTAATTGAAATTTGATATTTAAATTCCCAGTATTAAAACAATGAGCAAATAAGTTTTTTTTGGAAAGATCAGGGTTTCAAAACTGATCTGCGAGCCGATTTTACATTTTTCACCATATCTACGGAACGAATTGATGGAATTTCTTGAAATTTGATATTTGAGTTCTGGTTGTTACTAGAACTAACTGACGAGTATTTCAATGAATTCGGGTAGCACAAAGCGAAACTCTACTAAGAGCCAAATTTACATTTTTCTAGGTCTATTTAACTATAATCTTACTAAGGTCCTTAAAATTGGAAAGCAGTATTTAACAGACATTTTTATAATATTCTGTAACACTTTCACTTAACTAGATAGTGCACACTGTGGTCGGTTATGTGCTGACCACATCAGATTTTTTTAATTATAGCGGAATTAGTAACTTTTTTTTTAAATTTGTTAACTGACAAAAATTGTTATAATATTAAAAATGCCCACCACAAAACTCAATCTTCTTCAAAAGATAAAATATAGTTGCGAGATTATACTATTCGCAATTATTTAGCTGATATTATATCTGAATAAGGACCTTAGAAATATAAAAAATTTTAATCTATGAACAACAGATATTGCATATTATTTTTAGTATTTTTGAGATATTTTTAACTATTGAAATAACAACTGACATAACATTCCCAAAACTAATTGATAAATGAACGGTTTTTTGCCACATTCCTCCCGCATTCCATGGAACAAGGAGGTTATGTGATAGCATCAAATTTTTTCATGTCGAGTTTCTGCGGAAATGTTTTTCCGGAATACGGAGGGGAAATAAACAATTTTTAGGGAGTTGTCTGTCAATATATTTGTTAAATATATTTTGGAGATTATCAGGGCTTTGAAATCGAACCAGAAACTGAATTTACATATTTTATCACATCTATGAAACTAATTGACGGAATTTCGTGAAATTTAATATTTGAGTTCTGTAGTAACTGACCAGCTTTGCAAAGAATTCGAATGACATAACAATTTCTATTAAGAACCAAATTAACATTTTTCTACGTATATTGAATGGAAGCTTACTATCGTAATCAAAATTTGTAAGAAATGCTTAAAAAGCGTTATTTAGCTAAAATAAATAATGCTTTCCGGTCGGTTATGTGTTGATCACATCAGATTTTTTTCGAAGTTCTGAAATTTAAAAAAAAACAGCCATTTGAATCTACTTTTGCAATTTACTCAAATATTATTTATTTAACTGTTTAATATTTTTATGTGCATATATGTTTTCGCCAAGTTACGTCAGCATTTACGTTAATTTATTTTAAAATATAAAAAAAAATATTGATTCCATACCTTTTTTCAATAAGTAGTTACATAATAAATTTGCGAGTAATTAACTAGATTATACCAATTTTCGGTAATCAGCCAGTCCAAAAAAAAAACTCAAGCAGCGAAACAGAAATAGTAATCGACGCATGTAAAGCGTTATAATGAGTATGTAAGTTAATTTCTCAAATTCTTGAAAATGCTTTGCAAAGTCGCAGTCTTTTTCAATCTTAGGCTGTAACTTTGGCCGACACAATAGTTTTTCAAAATTTATAGTTTTATAAGATCTCTTTAAATATAATTTTGGCAAAGAACTACGTTCGATAACTTTGTTTACCGCTCACTTAAAGTATTTTTGGTGGCCTAGACCATTTCAAAATCAATTTTTAAAAATACCTCTGAGCAAAAATTACAGAACCCTTAAATACAATTTGATTATATTTGGCTGTCTTAGAACTGAAATCTGCAGTTCGATCTAATCCGAAACTTCGAATTCTTCAAACGGTGTTAACAAAAATTAAATAGAACTTTGAAAACTACAATATTCGGTAATTTTTTTCAAACTTACTTAAGCTATGAAATGTAATTTCCGTTCACCATGAAAATCAAAATTATCTTGTTTAAAAAGAAAATAACAAAAAAGTGGGAATTGTAAAGGAAAACTTTGCAAATCCAACTCAACATAGGAATACAAATAAAGAAAATCGAAACAATTGAAAATCTTATGTGAATTAGTGTTCACACGAACCTATGGTAGACACGAGCTATAATTAACAGCATAACTGTTTTTTAACAAACAAATTGTTTCAGACTATAAGTAAGTTAAATAGAAAATTATGTAAATATTTGATTAACTTGAATGTGTTTTTTTTATATTATATTTAATATTAAACTTTTGAAAAATATTTTGAGAGAGCAAGTTTTTTGTTATGTTTCAAAATTATTGAGAGTTTGAAATTTTTTAAAATAAACTCTTTCATAAAAACAACAAATTATTCTTAATATTTTTCTTCAACACTTTTTAATTATTTTTCATTATTGAATGTGTTCTTGACTTATTTTGCCAACGAAATTCAACTGGCCGTGTTTGTCAGTACAGATTAATATACAAAATGTGGTTTCAATATTTATATTAAGTTCAGAATTCTATCAGTTTAAGTCGAACCATAATTTATTGTCTGCTTTATAATGGGCGGCTAAAACTCATAGATACTAGTTTTTCCCGAATTGTAGAATAAAGTTGTGCAGAATCTAACTGATTCATATACTGATTTTTGAAGTAAAATATATTTTAATAACTTAATTAAAAAAATTATTGTTTTGAAACTCTAAATTTAGTGAAGAAATATTTTGCTTATGACACTTAATGATTCATTAAGGATGATGGTGGAAAATTTAGTGTAATTTTCAAATTTTATAAAAAAATCAAGAGCCGCCGTGTAGAATTATCAAATACATTAAAAATTTTGCACGGAAATTTAAAACAAAAATTTTAAAGGCCAAACAACTTTATGACACGTGAACTTTGAAAAAAGAGAAATGAAAATTTTTTCTTTAAATAAATTTAACGACATCTTGCTAAAAATTTGTTTATTTCCACTTCCCTACCATATGAAAAGTTGAAATTTAGTGCGATCACATAACTTCCCTTAACTTTGCAATGCGGTCGGTAAAAACAATTCACTAATAACCAAAGTACAGTGACAATGGGCTTGACAGAAGATCCTTAAACAAAAAAAAAAAATTAAATTAACGCAAATTGAAAAATAAAGGTTTTTGAACGGAATTAAAAATTTGAAAAAAAAAAATCAAGTAAAAAAAATATCCGATTTCTATAACTTTTTCATAACATGTTTATTTTGAGGTTTTTATTTCAATTTCCATTTTTTTTTTTTGTTTTTGGAATTTATTTTCCATAGAAATCAAATTGCCACAAAATGCAATACCATGCCAAAACACAAAAATATAAAAAAAAAAAAACTTATACCACATTCATGTATAAGTTCTAAGGCATAATGAAACTAAAATCAATAATAAAACAAATTCCCCGCGTCAATTGATTTACAAAGAGCAATCCTTAGTTGTGGTTACAATTAGATATTTATATTTTGAGGTTAGATTAGATTTTAATGGTTTGGTAACACGTGCATATGTATGTACGTATATGCAAATATAAACAAAATATTATAATTTTGTTGTAAGTATAACTGCACTTTGTTAAAAATTAAATTTTTTTTAAATATTTTAAAGAAATAATAAAGCAATTTTTATAATATCTTTCTGTCCGTGCCATGGTCTCTGACGTATGCACGAAAACGTCTGTGCGTTCGACATTCTACTTCCTTTCAATCGTTTCAAATCAACTGTTGGTCTAAACAGCTTCTTTTTAAATAATAACAAATAGTTCATTATCCTAAATCTTAAATTTCTCAAATTTTTTTTATTATCATTTCTCTTCAGAGCGTTCACAATGTTTCTAACAGTTTTTCACTGAATGTAAAATGTTTAAATTTAAAAGACGTTTCCTTGATTGACTCTACTTCTGAAATCCCATTAATTAACAAGCAGGCTAGTTAATTTGTTCTGGTACAGTTTGACAATATTGTTAATAAAT